CTTCTGATTCACATTGTATTGTTACTTGTGTTAAGTCTAGCCAATACTCTTGAACATTTCATGCTTTCCTGGAACATGGCTGTCGGTATCACCACTTGATTTTGGGTCAGGGGAAGGAGCTTTTAAATTGTTCTTTCTGAAGAATGTAGTGAGAAATTACTGTGTTTTGAGTGTGAACTGTTTCTTGGAAGTGGATTACTGAGAACTGACAGATATGATTTTTCTGCTTTTTTTAAGATGCTGCTCTTCAACCATATTTGGAACAAATCAGCCTAATTGAGGAACAGGTTGCAGCTCTGGAGCAGGCAGCTTATAAATTGGATGCATATTCCAAAAAACTTGGTAACTATTGTCCTCTACTGTTACTACCTAGCAGCATAGTCCCTTGCAAAGGGATTTAAAAAGACAAAGTAAACTCCTCTATTTAACAGATCTGAGTTGCCTATGCTGCTTTTGAGCAATGAACATTGTATGTGAAGTGCAGGTATTATGGAACTACAGCTTATTAGTGAGGTTTGATTTCTCTTTTACAGTGTACACTGACCCAAATTTTAAAGACAGATGTTTAATCCTGCAGATAGAGGGATTCATAAAGTTCCACCAGGCGCCCAAGTCCCCTTGGCTTAAATGAATATTATTTGTCTGACTTAAGCACCTGTTTTTTTAAAAAAATGTGTTGTACAATTTATTTGCCTGAATGCTTTAGTAAAAAATGACCCTGAGTGATACTGTAAATTAACTTGAATTTTAAGATGTATAGCAGCTTACAGGATTCAAAGCTTTTACCAGTCCAGTCCTAAAATGTTGTTGTTTTTCCTTCTGCAGAAGCCAAGTACAAAAAACTGGAGAAACGATGAAATTACAACAGTCTTTAAGTTGGAGTTGGACTGTGAGTCAGACTGATGTCTGTTTAAGTTGCACCACAGCAGTTCTGTATGTTGACAAGGATTTGGTTACAGCTACATCAAGACTGGTAACTTTTTCTGTCTACTGAATACAGTAGTCTGTATTCAGGCTTAAGGCTGAATAATATTTTCCTCTTCTCAAGAGGTTCTGTTGCCTCAGTCGTTCTGCAGTGAAAAGTAGAAGCCTGTCCCTAACCCGTGTGTTGATACTGGCCGTCTGTGTGTTAGTCCTGTGTCCCCCATGAAATACCCTATCTAGGAAAAGCTCTGCATAACCTATGAAGACATTTTCCTTTAGTAGCAGCAGGACCTAAACGTCATTTTTTTTCCTTCGTTGAACTCTGCATTGAGAAGATACCTGGGCCTTTGGAGTTATGAGCATGGTATTGAAAACACTTCATTTTGGTATCCACCTTTATCTGTTTGAAATAGAGAGACTAATTAGTATAAATTTACAATAAAAGAACTTGCTGCATTTGTCTCTCTGGAATCTCAAATTCCTGTTGGGAAGATTATGTAAGTTGTCTTTTTATTTTTTTTTAATGAAGGGTCTGTTAATAAAGACAAACTCATTCCTAGCTGCTGGAGGTCATAGAAGAGAACATGTTTTAAACTCTGCATCAAGCATTTCTGCAATTATATTCTTTCACTGTCTGGACCTCAGGTGAAATTGCAAAAGTGTTGCTTTATCACATGCTCAGTTAACTAAACAGATCCTTTCTCTACTACACCAACAAATGTTGATCCTAGTAGTTTTTGCAGAGGCAGGCCCAGCACAAAAAGCTTCTTTTCTGACAGATTAACAGTTCCCCATGGCTAATTTAGCAGAGCCCTTCTTACTGAACAGGTACTGCTGTCAGTCAGTGTACAGCCACTGTAAATAGTCAAGATGAACACTTTTCCCTAGTGCTTTAAAAGCAGCAAAGCAAATGACCTTTGAGAGTCTTCACCATCGCTTTAAAAATCCTGGGTTTAAGATAGAAAATACTATTCTGTATGGCCTTGATGCAGGATTTGAGAAAGGGCTGAGCTCACTTTAATGAGCATCTTTAAAGCACAGGGTTTAAGTCTCCCGGGGTATCCAGCCATTTGCATCTGTATTGCTTTTATCCATAGATAGCTCACTGATGACTTCTCTACCTGTGAAAGCAAATTAGACATTTCAGTATTGTTTTCAAAGCAACATCCTGTAACCCAACAGGGAGAGGTACCAACAGATGAGTTAGCATTTCTGTGTTGGAGGGAGTTACACCATGTAGAACAGCAGCCTGTTTTAAAGACTTTTTACCAAAAAAAACCCTGTTTACAGATTGCCATCTTCTCAAGATTTGTGGTGCATTTGCAGTTCTACTGGACAAGAGGATCTAGCCAGCCAGATCTCAGGTCTTTGTGCCTAGAGACTGGCATTTGAATTATAGCCTGAACAGTGGCCTGCTTGGTGATCTCTGATGCTGGGAAGTGGTGTCACAAGGTGGCAGACGATCTAAAAGTCCTGTTTCTCCTGTAGATAATATAAGAGCTAGATGTGATTCAGCCAGACTCACCAGTATTTTTGGTAGTACCATCCTTTCACTTTGCTGTTTTGGAAGAGGATTACAGATGTTTGGCTGCTGGTGTAGAAACGTGAGGGTGCTGCTTGGAGCTCCTCTGTTCCCTAGCAGCATGAGGATTTTCATTATAGCGTATAGCACTTGCATGTGGCTGCAAGCTTAGTCCCTGATCCCCTACCTGTAAGTCCCTCCCTGGCCCCTACCCCATCTTGAAGAACAGAAAAGTTACTGATTCGTATCGGGTTGGAAATGGTTCTGGATAGATGGCCATCGCCCAGAGCTGACCAGCCACTGAAATGCTTACCAGGCCAGGTTGTTCTAGGATTGAAACAAGACCACTGATCTTCCAGCCTGGTGGTCTCTTTGATTCCCAGCTCTTTCTGGGAAGATGGTGCTAGAGACACAGAGCACCTGCTGGCATGCAAAAGGAATTGTTCTCCACTGCAGGGATGCAGCTAGCCCTGCATTCTGGCTAGGTGCAGAGGCCAAGATGAAAGGGTGACAGGGTGTATCCCATGAAATTACAATGGAGAGCTGGCCACCTGCTGTCTAGAGAATTGTGATCATCTCCCTGTGGTAAGAGTAATAGCAAGCCCTGTGTGACTTGGCATAGGACACTAGGCATGGCAGCAAGCCAGATGAGTTCTGCTTGTGGCAGATAAGCTGCCAGTCACATGCTGAATGTAGAATGGGACGTGGCGTGGACACACTCCATGCTCTAATGGCAGCACACTGCCAGTGTAGCTGCAAGTCCACGCCTTTATTGGATGTGACCGTGGGCTCAGACCCTCAATGGGAGACAGACTCCACAGATCCAAGCAGGGTACCAAACTGTCTTAAGGTGTGTCCCAGTCACCCTCCCTTAACGCATACTGTCCGCATTCCATTTGGGGTGCCAAAATTCAGCGTTCCGCAGTAGGAAGGATTCACTGTCACTGGCATCATGACAGCAGCCTTGCTGTGTAAATTCCTGAAGTGGCCAAGAAGAACAGCACAGTGCTCCTCTCTGTTTTGTGTTTCATGCCCTAGCACTTCCAAGTGCCTTGAGCCCAGCAGGGCACCTTTTCATCTTGAGGCCGTGGGGACACACATTATAGTGAAGATATTTCGCGGCTGCTAGTCTTTCTTAAAAGAAAAGAGGAGAGAGTTATGTGCCTCACCCTTCTTGGGCATGGCGTAAGGTACCAAACTTGCCTTGTGGCAGCAAGAATTTCCCTCCATACTGTGTGCCTGGAGCATGCTGTGTTGCCAAAGGCAGCTATGGACATGACAGCAGCCCAGTAGGAAGTTTTCCTAGCACTGGAGCTAGATATACGGATAGTCAGAGTGTTTGGGTTGAAAGGGTTGCACCCAAGAATAGGCTAGTGCTAGCTAAGCAAGAACACATTCTCACGGGCACGAGGGCTAGAGTTTTTCCTCTGCTCAGCAGAGAACAGGAATTTCATGATGAAGCAGACTGTGACTACAAAACACCGCTGTGGGGTACACACATACTAGCTGTAAGCCCTGATCTGCACTTCTCAGGTCTCCAAAGACATGTTTTGAAAGCCGAGGCTGCTGTCAGTGTCATGACTGAAATTGGAATGGTGCCCTCCAAAAGAGCATCCATGCAGCTGTTGTCAACAGCTTCTCAAGCCTCAAGCTCAAGGGAATCAAGGGGACTGAGTGACAGTGGGTATGTAACACAGTCACATGAAAGTATACCCAATGTGTCTCGTTCCCTCTGTGCTTACCTCACCTGGAGAAGGCTCCGTCTGCGGGGTGCTTCCTGGCCTGCCCCATCCCACCTCTTCCTAGGCAGGGGCCCGGTGTCTCCTTTGTATGTTTATAGCAAGGCAAAGAGCAGGCTCAAGAATAGGTTTAAATGTATTCCAGTGACACTCCTATTTGGATTTGGTTTTGTAGAACTGCTGGCTTAGCCGTGTCTTGTTTTAAGCACAGGTGCATTTGGTAGTTGCTTTGATGAAGAGATCCACTCACCACATGCAACCCAGCATGCTGTTGGAAGGTCTAGGAATCTGCGTGATCGGGGCATAGCAAACGTCAAAGAAAAACAATACGGCCTTTCTCTGCTCGTTGTCTTTCCTTGACAGGATGGCAGGAGGGCCACAAGGGGGCGAAGTGTCAGCAGAGGAAACTTCACAAGGCACAGCAGTAAAGGCAAAGTCAGGACCAAGTCTTGTTCCTGTTGAAAAAATTGCTTTTCTACGTATAGAAAATACAATGCTATTTTAAAACTACAAAGATGAAAACCTCCAGGAACTCTGAAGATAGAAATCCATCTAGCCATGCATTGCCAGCAAGCGCTTAGTGTTTTCAGCTGAGAGAGGTAAGAAATAGCAAATTCCTTCACAAACTCTTGAGTATCTCACCTCCAGGAAGCAGAAATGGGAAGAGGAGCTTGTCCCACAAGTGACTCTTTACTAGGAGGAAGTTTTGGAGACTGACTCCTGGCTGACTGGGGGATTGTGTGACAGTGGCATCCCAATTAGGCTGAGAGCTGTTCCCAGTTCTGCCCCTGAATAACTATTCCCTTCTCTGCCTGAGGGTCCTCTGTGTGTCTGGTAGAATCCAAATCGTGGTAAGGATGACACGTTCTTGGAGAGTAGCACCGTGGAAGAGACATAGCTAGGTGTGTGTGAACAGCATTGTACTGGGGAAACGTGTAGTCCAAAACCAGAGGCACTACTTGGTTGCTATTCAGACATTTCACCTGGAGAGTCTGTGAGAAGTTCCAAAGGAGGTACAGCGGTACAGGGGGTGATCAAATCTCTATGTCTTCTCTTCTGCAGCATTTGCTGGTGGAAAATTGTCCTGGTTTCTGCTGGGATAGAGTTAATTTTCCTCCTACTAGCTGGCGTAGTGCTGTGTTTTGGATGTAGGCTGAAACTAATGTTGACGATACACTGATGTTGTAGTCGTTGCTAAGCAGTGTTTACACTAAGTCAAGGACTTTTCAGCTTCTCACACCACCCCAGCAGCGAGTAGGCTGGGATGCACAAGAAGCTGGGAGGATACACAGCCAGGACAACTGATGCAAGCTGGCCAGGGGCCACTGCTCGGGGACTGGCTGGGCATCAGTCAGTACATGGTGAGTAGCTGCATTGTGCATCACTTGTTTTGTGTAATATTATTATTATTTTTATTGTTGTTGTTGTTGTTATTGGTATTATTGTTATTATTAATATTTTCCCTTCCTTTTCTGTCCCATTAAACTGTTTATCTCAACCCACGAATTTTACTCTTTTTTTTCT